AGACAACACAACGTCCATGTATGATTCATCACAAACACTGCCGTGAAAACTATAACTTACAACAGGCAGACGTTTCAGGCAATGTCCCTTCCGCAAAGCAATACTGATTGTACTTAGCAGCTGATCCAGAAAGTGAGCCATGGACACAATGTCACTCGCTCATTCACTCACCCGTCGTCGGCTCGCAGGCGGCCGCTGTTCTGCAGCGTCGGCATCTCCGACGACTCCACACGAGCAAAGGTGGCTCAGAGAAAGGGGGACTCCGAGGAGGACTGAGGGTATACTCGGAGAGAAGCGCTAAGAGACTCAGAGCTGACTCAGCTGTCCGCCTCAAAGCACAGCCATCGGTAACAACTTTTCGCGCTAAAAGTTAACCCGGAAATGATTCCTGAATGGATGACTGCCACCGGGGAGGGGGAGGCTATGCAAATGAGTCTGACAGACCGCCTACCCGTGATGTCATCAGCGCAAAACAACGCCCGCTTGGGGAGTGCCCCCGCCCACAAAGTGGCCACGCCCACTCGAACCTCCTCCCACTCAATATATATCGCCTGCTATAATCACGACGACCCTTTTGCCCGTCCTAGGACGAAAGCTGTAATATTTAGGGGAAAATTGAGCAGAGTATGCAGTAATTGTATCTTGTGTAAATTTAATGGCAGTGAATCTTGCACAAAATAATGTCATTAAACACTACACTGCATTTCACTGTAGTACTGTATTAGGGGCCGTCCATAAATGACGTCACGCACCTAGGGGAGGGTGGTAAGACATTTCTGACGATGTGTGACGAAGGGGGGGGGGTGAGAAATGTGACGTCACATAAAAATGCGCAACTTTAAATATAGACAACACGTTCTACTTAATTAAATGGACTTTTTAACAAATGTTTTTTTTTCCCACATCAGAGTGCAGTGCCACGTTAAATACGCACTACAATGACAATAGTTTAAAGCGATTTGAAGCATATTCTTGGTTCTTTCGGTAAAGTCACGTAGAAGGGAAAGAATAAAATAATAAAAAGATAAAACAATAAAATTATCACGACGTTTCGACTGCAACACAAGCAATCATCAGGTGTGAAAAACCACAAGAAAATTTGAAAAAAGTGGCGGGTTTTTTTCGAATTTTCTTGTTGTGGTTTTTCACACCTGATGACGATTGCTTGTGTTGCAGTCGAAACGTCGTGAGAATTTTGTTTTATATTTGTATTATTTTATTGTTTCCCTTCTACGTGGTGACTTTACCGAAAGAACCAAGAATATGAATCCCTGCAGTCACGAAAGCATTAAATAAAAATTCGATTTGAAGCATGTTTCATGGGGGGGGGGGGCAAAGCTTTGTGACGTCATATTTGTGAGGGTCTGACTTTTTGTGACGCCCTGACGACCGGAGGGGGTCAAAAATCGCGTGACGTCATTTATGGCCGGCACTTAATGGCAGTGAATGTTTCACAAAACGATGTCATAAAACACTTCACTTAATTTCACTGTAGTACTGTATTAATGGCAGTGATGATTGCACAAACTATGTCACAAAACACCTCACTTTATGCGACTAGCACTGCATTTAACTCACCTTCAATTAGTTCGAAATCACTGCTCTAAAACTTTATTGTCTTCTGCTTTCTCTCGCTGGGGTTGTAATCAATTTGAATTCGATACAATGTCTGGAAAATCACGGAGAAATGTATATATTTTTATAATTTAGAAGCAAAAATTAGACTTGCCTTTTGTTTCAAGTGCTGAAGAAATAAATAAAGACACCAAATACACTTTAATGCTGCGTAGATTTTTTTTTTATTACCTTTCAATAAAGAAACGTCAAATTGAAAGCAAATTTGCATAAAATGTTTTATTTCCGCTCGACCTGTGGGAGTGTTAAAAGCCACGCGCTCATGATTATTAATGAGGGGGCGCGGGGCCTGTTTTCAGTGACGTCACGTACGGATGTTGCACTGTGCTGCCTATATTTATTTTTAACCATCACTTTCTGTAAAGAAACGTCTGCGTAGAATAATTTATTTCATTAACTTTCAATAGAGAAACGTCAAATTTAAAGCGAATTTGCGTATTTTTTTTATATTTCTGCTCGATTTAGAATCATAATCTTTAAACTGGAGAAATCCGATAAGCTATGAAGCTTTTTCGCAAAAAAACGATAGGAGTGCAAAGTACAGAAGATGTAAGCAAGTCACTAAAAATGTATAAAAAAACATAAAGTATGCACGTACAAATTGCATAATTACATACATTCCTACGAATTTTTCAACACTAAAGCTTGGGCAAGGCGGCAAAACAACAAAAAGTTCCAAGCGACACGACAACACACAGTTCCTCTATTACACTTCACATTAACACGTAACTAAGAATACACGGGTAAGAATCACACCTGGGACAAACCTTTTTTTAAAAATTTATTTAATTTCTTGTAGCTTCATATACGTGTATCTGGCATTTTTTTTCGGATGCTTCCACTTCACAAATGTGGGACAGTTTAATCCTTTTGTTGATACTCAATATCTATTGGGTTACCATTCACATCCCCAACTAAAAACTGATCATAAAACATTAAAAATATATTCTCCATCACACCCCATGGTGTAAAGTGCTCTTATTATTATTATCCACTTTATCTCCCTGTGATATGGAAAAGGGATATTTCCCAAAACGTTAACGATTTATTTTCCCTTCAAAGGCAGTGTTATTGACGAATATTTGTGCACCACTGCCAACTACATCAAATGATGAATTCACCTTGCTTTGCTCATCCAGCAGTTTCTGTTTATTGTTCACGGCCGATGGTAAAATTAAACCTACCTAGATTTCATGAATTGCAGAGATTGAGGATCGTCGTTCACATTCAACAATATACTGTTCAGTTTGTAATGGTCACGTCTGTTATGTTGTGCATTCGTTAGCATGTTGGTTTAATGCGCCTGAAGTTAACGTGAGTGGACATCGTCGATTTGAATGCCCTCGTGCCCACAACTCAGAGGCAACCCCCCGTTGAGACTCAGACTTAAATCAGCAGGCATTAGTCGTTGGTGCACCACATGCGTTATCGCTTTCTTCTGACATATCCTCAGCAGTTTACAGTCAATGCATGACTGCCATAAAACTTGCTACTGTGATGATTGACGCAAAGTTGAAAAAATAAAGATGCATTTATTGACAGCGGAGCAACACACAAGAAATACTAAAACCCAGCACAACCTTACGTACCAAATTATTTTATGAAGCCATGCGTTTAAAGACGTATGTATAAAACAAGAACGAATAATACTATCGAAAGCTTTGATGGTACTATAAACTATCAACGATGCATTCAAATGAACAAACTACAAGGCAATTATTAAACTATATAACATATACGGTATTTACTGTAATTACTGTGTTACTTGGGACACATTCTGGCAGCTCTAATAAAAAAATGTTTTTACATAGCTTTGTAAATACTATTATTTTTTACGTGGACACAGATATGGGTAGGATGCATATCGTCTACTTGTTATTTATAATCTACACAATGACCAATTATTACTCTGTGTAACGGTGACTGAATGATTAGACGTATGTTGAACTTCTATTGCACCGTACGTAGCCAACCGTTATAATCAGAGGTGTGGGGGAAGGACAACAAACTAAACACAAAAAGCAGTTCTAAAGAAATGAGTTTTCAATATAGTTCGAATAGTGCATAGCTCCAATGGCATCCTAATACACACCACGCAGGGCGAAAGGACACAAGTGTGCAGGATCAGGGTGGTGCAGTCGAAACACTGGTACCTTGCAGCAAAAAGGTCCTGGGCTTGATGCCTGACTTGGGAGCCTTTTCCATATGGAATGTGTATGTTTTGATTTAAAGCTTTCGTGACTGCAGGGATTCATATTCTTGGTTCTTTCGGTAAAGTCACGTAGAAGGGAAATAATAAAATAAAAAGAGTAAAAATAAAACAACAGTGAGCAGCTTCCATTTTTATTATTATTTCCCTTCTACATGACTTTACCGAAAGAACCCAAGAATGTGTATGTTATTTTCCTGTTCTGTATAGGTTTCCCTCCAGGTTCCCCGGTTTCTTCCCATAGATCAAAATGTATCATCTGGAATTGTCCAAAACATCAACTGGAATTAGAGGCCGACCGAAATTCGGTTTCGGCGCCGAAAGTTGGCAAATGGCCACTTTCGGCATACTTTCAGTTTCGGCCGAAAGTAAATTTTTTACTTTCGGTCTGGTTTCGGTTTCGGCCGAAACTGATATCGACTTTCAGCCGTCAACCGAAGATCTATTTTTAGAATATAACGCCAGTGCTACGTCTATCAGCCGGTCAGTCGGCGCTAGGCAATCCTATACGATAGGCTGCATACACACACACGTCAGCAGCAGCAGCAGCAGCTTGTGAGCGAGGTTACAGCAGCAACCATGGTCTGGGGCCGTCAATAAATGGCGTCATGCACCTGGGGGGGGGTTTGACATGTGACGATGTGTTACGATGGGGGGGGGGGGATTGAGAAATGTGACGTCACATCAAAATGCGCAACTTTAAATAAATATAGACAACACGTTCCACTTAATTAAATAGACTTTTTAATAAATGTTTTTTCCTACATCAGATTGCAGCGCCACATTAAATACACACTACAATGACAATAGTTTAAAGAGATTTGAAGCATGTCAACATCGCCACTGGGGAGACAAAGGCGGCCGGCCATGGTGCTGGCCACCCACCCCCTCATGTGCCGTGCCGTTCCGGCCTTCATAGGTGCTCGCTAACAGCACTTGCCACCTCCAGTCTCACAGGGTACACGGGGGATCTTTGTCTTTAGCCTGTGTGTGGGGTGGGGGGCGGGGCAGCGATTGCGTAGCTATTCGCGCGCTGCGCTACGAACCCGGCGGCCCGAGTTCGATTCTCACTCACGGCCGGTGACGATTATTTGAACCGGTCCTGGGCCTCCCCTAGGTCGACTCAGCCTCAAACGAGTAAGTGGTGTGGTATGTCAACATCGCCACTGGGGAGACAAAGGCGGCCGGCCGTGGTGAATCCAAGTCCCGGGCGACATCGGGTAGTAAAGCTAGTGTTTCGGTTTCGGCCAAAAGTGAAGTTAAACTTTCGGTTTCGGCTTCGGCTGAAAGTCAATTTTTTACTTTCGGTCTGGTTTCGGTTTTGGCCAAAACCAGAAATTCAGTTTCGGTCGGCCTCGAACTGGAATTACATATTGCAACATCGCCCCCTGAAATTAAGTGAAGCTTTCCTACGTAAACAAGCATAACAATATTACAGTATTTCCTGCTGGACAGCAACAGTTTTCAAAATGCAATGTACACATCTTTGCCTTTGCAAAATACTAAGCTTTTATCTTGCAGCACCGCCAGGACCCGCTCTACATGGCTTTCCCGCACGGTGACTCCACAGAGATTACGCACCGCGTACGTTATGTCACCCAGAGACACAACACTCTGCCTGGAATCAGGCCCTGTGCATTTCCCACGCACCACGAGCAGCACGTTATCGCGCAAGTTGACATCCAAATCTGTCACTAAGTACAACTCATTGTTCGTGGGATGTTTGTAAACGAAGCCATCCTGTTCGAGTCGGCACAGCGCATCACGGAACTGAGCGTGCGTGGTAACTTGTGCAGTGCAGGCCACACAGCCTTCCTTTTTTGAGGAAGGTTGCGAGGCACACTTTTCATGCCGTGAGGAGGTATGCGCCAACATCCGAGTTCGGTCTGTGTCGCGCTCTGTGAGCGCAGCGAGCGCTGCCAAACTCTCCACACACTGCAGCTCTTGGAAATAAACACTTCGCATGCCATTATCCTCCAGGAATTTCAAAATCCCATCGCTGAGCGTGCCCAGTAGAATGTCGCTCTGTCCTCTAAGCTGACTGGTGTTCTCAGCCCATGCATACTCCTTATCGTAGTATTGCGTATACAGCCGCACTTGCTCTCGCAGGCGTTCTATTAGCTGCACGCACCCTGGGTCATCCACTCTGCTGTAGTACGAGGCGTGTATCTCTCTGGTTTCCCACTGGCAGTTGATGCTGCCGAGTACGTGCAGCCAGTCTCCGAGTTGAGCGCGCGAGCTCTCCGCTTCCCTGTGCAGGACCGACTCAAGGAGATCCTGGATTACGACCAGCGATGCACATGAGTGGGGTAGTGTGCCACCTCCTCCTCTCCTGCACCGCTCTGGCTCCTTCCAGCACAGGCAGGTGATGACGCCCGTTCCGTCGTCCAGCGCGTACGCCGTGAAGCTCTCCCGTTCTCGCACCTCCACGACGGTGCCCATCACATCCACGTGGGTGATGGCGTGATTTCGGTAGAAATACACTCCTGGCGTAGAGGCCGCCGGCGCCATGCCAAGGATATCGGCCACATAGAGCTTGACGTGCGTGCGGTGCAGCGGGTCGAGCCCCCACCACTTCATGGGTGTGGGGTCAGCAGCCATCTGTGTAGAAAATTAACTCTCATTAAGACGGTTTGACCGATGGGATGAGCATAGAAAAGACACTTATGTTATGCGAAGACAGCTATAGATGAGGCATCTTGTGAGCACAGCATGTCATTACGTGTATCATATCGGCACCCTGGAGATGTCCATCTGTACCCTGTACTCGGCCTCTGCAATATTGAAGTTTTTGTATTTTGTTGTTGCTGTCCTCACGTACCACGGGATCACTATTGTAACATAGACAGGAAACTGCCTAAAGGGAGCATCCGTGTAACAAATCAAATCAATTCAAACTCAATCTGAAGGAATTATCTAGGCCATTTTCAGATGTGCATTGATGAGTATGGACGTAACGTGTAGTCCATCACTGTAGAGATGAGGGTTGGCGGATTGCACAAATGTTGTGAACTCCCTTCCAGTTGGCGTTGAGGTGCCATAAACTTGTCTCACTGGAAGGCAGTAGAGCAAGTGGACTAATCGGGGACAAGGTGTTGCCTCCTCGCGTGCGTGTTTTTACCCCGGGTGCTCCGGGTTTCTCGCACTTGTATAAACACTCGTCTTTAATTGGCTGAAAACACCTTTAAAAACAAACCCAATGTAAGACCCTCCTGAAGAGTCCTACGGCTCTCCTGTATAAATAGGTTAGGTGAAATGTTATAAAAAAAGAACAGCACAGTAGCAGTTAGCAGCTCATTAATGACACCGCGTGTGACATCCCTCCTGATGCGCAGTGTCATTAATGAGGGAGTTTCACAACTTGAATTGTCATTTGAACATGTAGGCTTTCACGACCAATATCATCCAAATTAGAGTTTTTTGGGTTAGATCGCGTAAATTTACAAATGAAACGTCGTATTCAGATTGTAAATGTTGTGGCTTGGCTCTCCAACACACCGGTGTGCTGTACTAGTGACGAATTGGCCACGTTCTGTTTACGTGACAACCCTTACTAGTTGGCTGTGTCGGGTGGTGGCGGGTTTTAACAAAACATTTATATATTTACGCGATCTAACCCAAAAACCCCTATTAAACTTGAATTGTGATCCACCAAACCTTGCTGCCTCAACATTACTCCTGGATTGCAGATCACCTGCATTGCCACCACCACCACCGCCCGGTATTAAACAAAACAGAAGCACGTAATTGTATGTACTGTGAAGCGTCATTGCCCGAAATGTCGCCTATTTATGTTCCTTTCAAGGCCCGTGCAGAAGCGCCGCGTCCTTAACTTGACCTAAACAAGATAAATTAAATAATAATAGGGTTTTTACCTTTTTTTCTGGCAACAAAACTGAAACCTTTTTACGAGGATTCATGTCTACATTAACCACAATACCTGCAGTCAAAATGCAAACAAAAAACACAATGATAATATATGATGCATTGTCCTTGAAACTGATTGGTCCACACCAAGGGACGGCTTTCTTTTGAGCCTCGACCCAATTGGTGCTCGACCAGATGACGCCAAAAGTCACACAGCTCAAAGACAATGCACTATCAAAGTAATGAGGGCTCGGGGTGAGCATCTACATCATTAGACCTCCTTTGCCAGTACCAAAACGTAATAATAGGGTTTTTCCCCTTTTTCTGTACGCCTTGTGGCGTCATCTGTCGAGCACCAATTGTTTCAAGGACAATGCATATATTATCATAGTGTGTTTTTTGTTTGCATTTTGACTGCAGGTATTGTGGTTAATGCAGACATGAATCCTTGTAAGAAGGTTGCAGTTGTTGCCAGAAAAAAGGGGGGGAAACCCCTATTGTTACATTTTGGTACTGGCAAAGGTCTAATGATGAAGATAAATTAAATAGAGTACGACGTTTCGATTGCAACACAAGCAACCGTCATCAGGTAGAACTAAATGATGTTTTCATTCTACCTGATGACGGTTGCTTCTGCTGCAATCGAAACGTCGTACTCTATTACTTAACTAATTTTCTTTCTACGCGATTCCTGTACTCACGAAAGCTTCAAGTCAAAGTCTAAACAAGACAGCATCACGCGCCACGGGTAACCAATCACAGCACGTTATTCAGAACACGTGTGGCGTCCTAACCAATCGTCTGCGAGGGAAGTAGCAACATGGCCGCCGCCGACGACGCAACGTACCTCGGAGCGCGAGTGAATGAAGCCACAGAGGACGCGGCGAAGCGCGGGACCCCAGTGTGAGCTCCGCCGCCTGAAGGTTCTGGGCGGAGAGGGAGGCGCGTCAGACACTCGCGGCAGCGACGTTCCTGGTTTTATCACTGACTCACGGGGCACCCACGCGCAAGGGGCGCTGCCACGCGAAAAGTGCGGTAACAGTAATGCGCTGTGGATCGATTCCGCGAGTCGAATATATGTAGGCACATCGAATCCTGAAAGATCGCGCCAGATGCGGTTCATCGATTCACGGGGATCGAATCGTAGAGACACTGCGTTATTGTGGTACGGAGAAGCGGGGGCGGGGGGGGTTAATACACAGCGAAACATGTAACGTGCATCGATTAATTAGAATCGTTACATGTAACGTGCATGGATTAATTAGAATCGTTACATGTAACGTGCATCGATTAATTAGAATCGTTACATGTAACGTGTATCGATTAATTTGAATCGTCATATGTAACGTGCATCGATTAATTATAATCGTTACATGTAACGTGCATCGATTAATTAGAATCGGTGCATGTAACATGCATCGTAACCAAGTTTCAAGTTTAATTTACTAGGTGTAGCCCTGTGAGCCATGCGGCTCTTAAGTCGGGTGCAACCGCAACAAACAAAATTTGAACACAGAACATCTTAAAGCGACAACGCGTAACAGAAACATTCTGGAATAAACCAGCAAATATTCCACACAAAAAAACATGTTAAAACGCTGTGTGTTAAAATCAATGTGGTGCAAGCCAACAACAACAATCACAAGACAATTTATATTAACCATATGTTTTCGAATCACCAAAATAAAGCTGTAAAAACAATGTAACAACAATAATCATAGGAACTGTGAATTTAAATTTAACAATAAACGATATACATAACATACGACAAAAAAACTGCAGCCATAGCTGGCAGCACGACACTCCCAATCGTTATTAATCTTGATTTGAAGTTTTCGTGACTGCAGGGATCCATACTCTGGTTCTTTCGGTAAAGTCACGTAGGTATTGTATTTTATACCCACGTGACTTTACCGAAAGACCCACCCAAAGAATTATTCCTGCAGTCACGAAAGCTTTAAGTCAAGGTAAGAATAGGGTTTTACCCTTTCTGACAATAAAACAGGTGTTAAGATGTTCAAACACCAACATTGAAACCTGTTGCAAGGCATCAAGTGCTGCATTAACCACACACGGCACTTGTGGTGAACATGCAAACATGCTCTGATAAATTTAGATTTAAAGCTTTCGTGACTGCAGTAATTCATATTCTTAGTTCTTTCGGTAAAGTCACGTTGAAGGGAAACAACATGACTTTACCGAAAGAACTAAGAATATGCTCTGATAATTTACGCATTGTCTTGGAAACTGATTGGTCTACACCACATATGGAGACTTCTTTAGGGCCTACTCTCACCTGTTTTGTTTCCAGAAAGGCTAAAACTTGTTTGTTTTCACACTTTGATACTGGGTCCAATTTCGTGACCAATTTGTTTAATCGATTGATCAATTAGCATCGTTTCGTGGCTTGTCCCACCAGCCAGACGGTGGTGTGGCTATGCACGTGGAAGCGAGGGTTGGTGGACCACTCACGCAATGTTACACTCCCTTCCGTGGGCGTTGAGGTGCCGTGCGTCCTGGCGCCCCAAAGGCAGTACAGCGAAGTGGACTGTTTTTATTTATTTAGATTGGAATCCGATGAGCGATGAAGCTCTTTTTTACAGATGTCGAGTAGGGGCGGGTCAGCAAGTTAGAACAAAGAATACAAGCACGGACTTGACTTTACTGTAATGCTCTTCTTTCTGGTCTTCCGAAGAAATTCATAAGTAAATGCGACTAATTCAGAATGCAGCGGCACGTGTTCTTTAAAAAAAAATCAGCACTCACATACACCCATTTTACAATTCTTGCTGCCAGTCAGTCAAAGAATTGATTTTTTAAATCTTCTATTGGTTTTTAAGTCGTGGAATGGTCTGGCACCTGTATACATGTCTTCCATGCTTTTAAGATATGAACGAACAAGATCCCTCAGGTGCTCTGATACTGGTCTTTTAGTCGTCCCAAAGTCCAGAACTAAAGCCTGATAGGGGTAGAAGCAGCTTGTAGTGTATACGGTCCTCACCTGTGGAACAGCCTGCCAGGGGATCTGAGGGCTTCAGGATCATTCAGCACTTTTAAAATAAATAAATTAACTTACTTTTTTTTTACTTGCCTTTAATTGGGATTTTCTTAATGTGTTATTTTTATTATGTCTTTGCTATAATTTTTCTACGTGATTTTATTTCGTATACAATTTCACTTTTATTGTTAATGCCTATAAAGCACTATGTATTTTATTTTTGTTCACGAATAGTGCTATAGATATAAAGTTTGATTGATTGATTGATCCCAGGTCTTGTAGCCATGACGTTTCCTTCCAGCCAAGATCTGCTCTCTTTAACCTACAACTGGCGTTGCCACGTCAACCACACACGCTCTTTATCCCATTTCAGCCAGACTGGTGTCACTTTTTGAACGTATATGTTTGTAAGCTTGATTTGAAGCTTTCATGACTGTAGGAATTACTCTTTGGTTCTTTCGGTAAAGTCACGTAAAAAAAAAAAAATGTAAAATTAATTAAATATTTTTTTATATTCTCGGTTGAAATTGTCTCTGTGTTTGTATATGTGGATAGCCTCATGAACGAATCTCTCATGAGGCTATCCACATATACAAACACTGAGACAATTTCAACTGAGAAGATGGATTCTGGCTTAGCAATCATTGGAAGGATTTGATCAACCATTTCGGGTCTTAATTGATTGTGTTCACGCTTACAGTGACTTTCAGACCGCATTCCATTATTTCCAGCTCCCCCCTCCTCCGTTCCGAGCATAGATGGACTCGTCCGTCTGACCAACCGCCAGTCGCTGTCCGTGGTGCTAACGTTAAGAAAAAAAACCGCCACTTTTTTCAAATTTTGCTGTGGTTTTCACACCTGATGATGATTGTTTGTGTTGCAATCTAAACGTCGTGAGAATTTTATTGTTTTATTTGTATTATTTTATTATTTCCCTTTTATGTGACTTTACCGAAAGAACCAAGAAAATGAATCCCTGCAGTCGCGAAAGCTTTCAATCGAAATTAAAATAATTATAATTTCATTTATTTAAATAATTATTATTTAATTTATTTCCTTTCTACGTGACTTTACCGAAAGAATCAAAGAGTATATGTTTTTATTTGTTTCGTGATTTCCTTTCCTTATACGTACTTTGCACTATCATGTTTTTGTAGTGTCGTTACTTTCTGACCCGCCGCTACTGAACATCTGTGAAAAAGATCTTTATAGCTCATCGGATTTCTCCAGGAAAAATATCATAATTCTGACTTATTTGGCAAGGGTCCAAGGGCGTGCCCTCTCAACCAATCTGAGTTGATCACAACTTTGCAATAACTAACCATCATTAAAGCAGAATAAGTTAAAAAAATCTAACAAAATGGGCTCTGCTTGGTGGACCGGGACCAACTTCTGGATTTGCTGGTGCCGATCTCGAGGCGCTCTTCGGGGTCATGTCAGGATCTCGCCCACACCCTCAGTGCCGATACTGCTCCTACTGGCGGCAGTCCGCATCGTACCTGTGATGCTGGCCACGCTAGAAACTTCTTTCTCAATGTATGACACTGCAGAATAAGCATATTTAGATTAGAAAAATCTGATGAGCTTTTAAGCTCTATATCTGTCGTTCGCTACAGAACAACGGATTCATATTCGTGGTTCTTTCGGTAAAGTCACGTTGAAGGGAAACAATAAACAATAAAATAATAAAAATATATATTTTTTATTTTATTGTTTCCCTTATTATTTTGTTGTTTCCCTTCTACGTGACTTTACCGAAAGAACCAAGAATATGAATCTCTGCAGTCACGAAAGCTTTAAATAAAAAAATAGAACAACGGATGTTGTAAATCCTAGGCTAGTACCGTATTGAAAAATCGGCAGCAATTTGTACCTATGTACTTTATTTTAGTGACTTGCTTATATTTACTCTTCTTTGTATTGTTGTAACTTTCTATATATTGAGTTTGCATGTTTCGCTTCCCATGGTCGCGTGGATTTTTCTCCGGGTCTTGTTTTTTCCTCCACATTTAGAGTCAAAATCATTCGTTTAGAGTATTTTTCCTTTCAAAAAATATTATGTAAATTGGGGAAATCATGTTTTGCTGACAATGAACATATAAAAAATTATTATTTTGTATATCCGAATGAGGAATGGAACCTCTGGCAAAACACCTATTCTGCTCACCCCATTAACTCAATGTTAGATTAAAGCTGCAAATCGACCAATTTGTGCATTCCCAATGAACAACACAACATACCACAATAACAGAAAATGTTATCAACTGTAAAAAAAAAAAAATCAAAACTATAACATGCTGATCGTCTTCCAACTCCATTTTATTTATTGATTCAAGTTGGATTGATCAAAATAAACAATTTATTAACACCCGTGAATATGATTAAATAATTATTGCCACAAGGGTCACGCCATCTGATTGTTAAATTACCCGCGGAAAAATAGCAAACACACTACCACTCAAAATAAGTGAACATCATACACCTGCAATCATGACCAGACACACCCTCATCACCCTCCATGTCACACAACACCTCACCTCAGTACTTCTGTTGATGGGATCGACACCAGTGTTTATTTTCTAGACCTTATTATAAATATTTTCATACCTGTGTAATGACAGGGTGACACCTGCTGGCATGACAGGGTGACACCTGCTGGCCTGGGAAGGGATTCACGGGTACGGGCATTGAAGTAACAACCAATCAGAGAGGGAGGTGTGTCTGGGGCAAAGGTAACAGGTGCGGTGAGCCGAGATACTCCGGGAACCTGCTCGAAGGTTCCACGAGAGGGCGTGGCCGGAGGCGGGGCTGAGCCACGCCTGGGGGGATATAAGGGGGAGCGGACCCGGAGCTCGGGGCTCGTGTATGGGGTCCTGGCTGTGTCGCTGTTCACCGACATCTCTCTGCGTCGTCCGGCCACGTGGAAGATCTCCTGCGTGGTTTCCATCGCCATCATCGTCACGCCGCCAGCTAGCGGCGTGGTCGAGTAAGGCGAGGGGACCATGCCGAGTGATCGGCTGTGCGTGTAGCCAGTGGAGGTGTTATACTCAGTGTGAGGAA